TAGATTTCCACTGAGGGTTACACTTATTACTGTATGTGAGCTCCCCAGCAACAGATACACGTTAACACGTTCCAACAGTAAGTAAAGAAGAATAGAAGTTATATCAAAGTTTAGGAAACACAGACAACGCCACATCATCAAATAAGAATCATGTTCCATTATCACATTGTACGCCAATTTTCATTGTCCTCTTTCACTTCAAACAATGTGTTTTTATAGGATATGCTCCATACAGGCTACAGCTAATATCATGTCCTGTGGGATGTGTCTTTTTTCTTCTGCTGCTCTTGTTTTGATCAGCAGGACTCTGAGGACGAGGATGTGGACATGTCTCTGAATCTCGATCGGAGCCCTCAGGACCACAGCAGCTTCCCGCCTTACATCCCGGAGGACTTTGCAAACTTTGAGATCTACAACGCAACTCTGGAGAATCAGGAGGGGTTTCTATCGTTCCGCTCTGAGTTGAAGGGAAGCCGGTGTGGAGCTGGGAGTGGAGAGAGGGAGGTGCCTCGAAGCCCCACAGCCAGCAGTTGCACTAGTGGCTACTTCTCACACAGTGCCTCCGACGCTACGCTGTCCGACATGCCTTTCAGTGGCAGTGAGAGCTCTGACCACCTCAGCGGCACCTCCAGAGACCCCCAAGACCCTCCTGCCTGCCCTACTGGAAGAGGCTGTACCCAAACCAAAAGTGTTTCTGCAGGGAGTGACATCCAGCAGCCTCCTCTCTCAACAGGTGGGGATCAGGATCCCGCCTCTTCGCCTGTCAGTATTCCTCAATGCAAAGACAAGCGGCTAACATTCCCTTTGCCTCACAACTGTGTGCTCGGTAGCAGCCAGGAGTTCAGTGACTTTAAAGGGGCCGATGACAGTATTGGAGACAGTGATTTAGCACATTTCACACAGGGATGGGAGCAGGATGGTTTGGATAAAGAAACATGTGACACTGGCAGTCAACCCTCCTCTGATGTCTCTAGTAATATATCAGTTTCTGAAGACATATCAACTGCTACATGCAAATGTCCAAATAATACAGGCAACGTTAATGTAGCCAGAGCCCCAGTATCTGTCCCTGACAAAGCTCCAACTCCTGCGTCACCTTCCCCACTCTCACCTTTATCTACACCCCGGTGCTCTGCCCCCCCTATGCGAGCAGGAGGAGAACCTCCAATAGAGGAGCCGGCCCAGGGGGACCTGCCCCACGGGAGCCCCTGTCCCAGTCCCAACCCCAGCAGCGCAGAGCCCTCAGGGGACTCCAGCGGGGACGAGAGCACCCCCGCAGCTCAGCTCCCTGACTGGATGGCCCCGGGGGAGCAGGTGTGGGTGGGGAAGAGAAAGGGAACGGTCCACTACGTCGGAGGGGTGGAGTTTGCTAAGGGGATCTGGATTGGTGTGAAGCTTGACATGGCAGTGGGTGAGTCCTTTAAAAATGTTGCCCAGAAAAAACATTACTTTTTGTTTGGAGAGCCCCACAAATACATATTATCAGGCAATTTTAGCTTGAGATATTGAGGTAGTTTAGAAATAATGTCGTCATCCAAGAAGTCTTTTTACATTCCATTCAGTTCATATCAATTTGCAAATAACTTTAGTGATCCCCATAAAACCCATATTTTTCTAATATTCAAATATTATCCGACTTGTTTAACCCTCAAGTATAAAAATAATTACACGTTCAACCCATTGAGGCCATGGAAATAAACGGCTGTGGGCTAGGACTGCCACAATATCACATTTTCATTCCCCATAAATTACTGTACAAAAAAGTATAATTATTATCCACTGTATTATTTATATAATGATATTATAAATATATATATCTTTTTAACTATATCCTGGCACCCCAATCTGGGTATTCAGGTACAGGTGATCCACAATAATGCTACATATCTGTGTTTATTGATTCTCATTTAGGTAAACACAACGGGACTGTCCAGGGCAGGGTGTACTTCCGCTGCCCCCCGGGTCACGGTGTGTTTGTGAAGCCATCTCGTCTGAACAGAGGGCCGCCCTCCATGGACACAGAGCCCCAGACTCTGATCAGATAGGACCCAAAGAAGGACCATCTCTCTGAGGAAAGGCATGGACCCGAGGGGGGTCTTCATATCCCGTGCCTGACTCCTCTTCTTGTGATGGAGATGTAATCTGTGGACGTGTATGCTTTCCTAAAGCATATCTGACCTGTGCATTTAATGAAGGTATATCCAGAATACTGTTCACTGAAAATTCACTATGCACATATCTGAGTTTTCCATACATGGATATTTTTTGATAGTAAACAACCTTTAACCGTGAGTCCATGTGGAAATATTACCCACATGCATTTTCTTACGTTGTTTTCTAAACATTATATATGATATTTTTGTAAGACAGACAATGCATCCTCTCTGATGCTCATATTGGAGTTATGTGGGTTATAAGGATAAAGAATGTACTACTGGTTAAACATTGATATTTACATCAATATGATCTGTCAGGGGTAACCAAAGAACTACGGTTCCATATCTGCTGTTATAAGTAATATGTTTTTTTGTTTTTTTAACGTGTGTATGTGGAGGCAAACACTATAAAATGGTATGTGTCCAAGTTAAGCTTAGTGCCATATCTCTAGGAGTAATGCCACACGCCCTGAACAGAGGACGAATCTGCTAAAACTGACTGCAGTTATCATGTTGAATGATCCTGTTGAAGTACTGTTAACACTGTGGTGGAAATAATCCCCATCCAGCATGGGACTGATGCTGTTTGAAAGCTTGCACTGGAAAGGATTCTTGGAGAGTTTGCTGACTGTCTTCCATATCGGACTGATGAGGTATTTTCTATCCCAAGTGAGAAAAAGCCCTGTGTGATCACTTTAATCCGGGGAGCCAAGGCCTGGATGTACTGATGCCTTAATGCCCTGTTTCCATAAAGGCAGGCGCATAAACCCCAAACTGCTCAATGAACTCTGTTACACGTTCACTGAGTTTTAAACAAACTATCCGTATGGACCCGAAACCTGTGTATGTATATCCTAAAATGCCCAGAGGCATTCAAAATGCCACCCAGCCTCGCTGACTGACTGAAGACCTTTTTAACTGATTGCCTATCTGCATTTTATATGTTAACTGACTGTTATATAACACTACATGTAGAAAGGTACTAAATAATGCTTTTATTTCACATGGAGGATTGGATGAATGGGTAATGGACAGTTCAAAATAGTTTAGTTATAAAGAAGAGCTGACCTTATTTTTATGGAATTGGTGGACTGTGGAACTGACTAGAAATAGTTTATATATCCAAGCTGTAATGTCAAGTAAATGAAACAAACCCAAGACCTTACTTTAAAGAAGAGAACAAAGCTGCTCTCCCCCGAAAGGAGTTGTAAATAGAAATGTATTTGAACATAGTATTTACACTATTATAATGTACAGAATTGTATTTATAATGTATCGCAAACTGTTTTAATTGGTACAAAATGTTCTAGAATAGAACATTTGCAATCAATTTACTGTGTTGACTCTTCATTTGGTCCAGTGTTTGCATGTTTCACTATTTTTAGTTTTTTCTGTCTCACTGACAAACGTGTTTCCAATACATGTATACTCAGTCTAAATCTAAATGCAATCATTTAAAATCTACTCTAGTTTAACTTTTCTTGCTCAGAGGTTCTTATTTTAGATACGTTTGGTGTGATAGTGCAGCTTAAGAGAATCCATAAAAAATACACTATGCCCTCATGGGACTTTAATAATAAGTCCATATTTAAAGTTTTCAGAAAAAAATGAATAGATCTGCAATGAATGTGTCTTTCACTGACAGTTGTTTATTTAATTGTACCTTCTCGAAAAACTAATATTTTGTATTATGTAGCCAAAATGACCTACCTTAGATTATGGCAAAGCAACACACCCCATTGCATGGTATATGTTCTTGTAAAACACAATCTGTTATAATAACTTTACACAATATTAACACCACAGGAGGGGGTGATTCTTACTGTAACTTCATCTCTTGGATGAGATATCAACACTAATGTTTGTTCCACTTCTAGCTTCTCAATGTGGGGACATTATACTTGATGTCACTGGCAGATGTATGACTGGTAAACATGTTGTCAACTAAATGATGCAACTAAGCATATGTGGGGCGAATCAGAGACTGCTCCCCGGCTGTCTCAGAATTAGGCCAGTGGTGCCAAATTTGAGTAAATGTAAATATAGCGCCCCCATGGGGTCAACTGATGATTTCTTTTTCAAAACATGCTACATTACAAAAATTATAATTAATGTGTGTTGGGTGGTAACAACTTGATCCATAGCAACATCTAGGCTACAGATACTGCTGTGAGTATGTAATTTATTTATAAATACGGAGCTAGGGGTTTACGTTTGCTGGTTTGTTAATAAATCCTGAATTTAAACAGTTTAAAGGGGGAAAAAAGAGGGAAAAGCAATATTATACTTCACACTGTAGTCTATTGGACTAGTATGATACTTGTAAAGATGTGGCCTTGTTGAGGACACTGAGGTCATTGGTGTTTTTGGGGCATTTGTTGGCTTTATTAACCAGGTGTTAGTTATGTTTGTAGACTTTATTGAACTAATAATGACATTAATATTTAAAAGGCCTATTTCAGTATTTTGTACACTATGTTTATTCTATATTTTTTCCACTTCAGATCAAAACATAAGAATGAGCAGAACTATAATCAAAAGTTGGGGTAAAAACTTTGTAGCACATTGTCAAACTTTTCAAGGGGACAGATTCAGTCCTGAAAGAGATGTAAAACTTGAATGTAATAGCTTTTCTAAAGAAGACATGGTTTTAGTTTCAAAGTCTGTGATTAGGACCAAGTTTATTTGGAGAATTAGGGTGATTTGTCTTAACCTATTTGGCACAGTGTGTCCTTGCCACTGTTTTAGCAGCTGTGGACCAGTAGGCAGGCAGAGCTCAGGCTGGTGGTCTGGCTGGGGGTGGAGTTAAGTATCTGTGTCACACACACTGACAACTGGGAAACCTCCCGCAGCAAACTAACAGGTGTCCTCTCCTCTCCAGACCCACCGTCACTTCACCGGGGGGCTTCAGACTCTTTCCCTCTACCGATCTGAACGCTGCTCTTTACTTTACCTTACAACTTCTAGCTAAACGCTTACACACACACATCTTAAAATGATGCATTCGGCTCAGAAAGACACCACTTACACAAAGATCTTTGTGGGAGGTCTTCCTTATCACACAACGGATACAAGTCTAAGGAAGTATTTCGAGGTGTTTGGAGACATCGAGGAAGCTGTGGTCATCACCGATCGACAGACGGGGAAATCCAGAGGTTATGGATTTGTAAGTAACAACCTGTCGCTACTTCTGAGTTGCCATGTTTTAAAGTTCTCGCACACGTGCACTGTCGGTCAATTGATTCAGTATCGGGACCTCAAAGACTGTTTGCTGTTCTGTGTGACAGCCAGGTTAGAAATAGGTCATTTTTTTACTCTTACTCTATCAGATAAGTCACATTTAGTCAAATTTAGCTGCCTACTTAAAAGATGTACCTTAACAACAAATGAGCCCTAATTGCTGGCTACTTTTTAGTCACCGTGACCAAACTGTTGAGTGATACATGTCCATGATATCAATGGAAAATGTGCTGATTCATTCAGGTGACCATGGCAGACCGGACCTCTGCTGACCGAGCCTGCAAGGACCCCAACCCCATAATAGATGGCAGGAAGGCTAATGTGAACCTGGCCTACCTGGGGGCCAAGCCCAGGGTCATACAGCCAGGTGAGGGACTGGACCACAGCTTTATTTCCCAACTTCAAGACGATCAAGGTGGCATACAAAGACAGCAGCCCAAATATCTTTACACACTCACATACAGGAACTTTAAAGTACTTTGTAGACTGCTCCATACTTGGTTGTTTTTTTTATCTTGAATTTTTTTCAAAAGATCACAACACACTACAATATCACCTCCACTACATTACAAAAGTGTCAGCAGAATAAACTAAAGTGTCTGTTTTCATTCTAGGATTTGCATTTGGTATGCCTCAGATCCATCCAGCATTCATCCAAAGGCCTTACGGGTATGTGAAGTTGCAGAAATTACTTTTTTTTTTCACAAGATGTGTGTTGTTACATTTAAAAAAAAAAAAAAAAATCTTGTATGGTCTTGTATAATGTGTTTTTATTGTTGTAAAAGTGTAATTTATCATTGCCTCCACTTAAATCCTGAATGAGGACATGTGAGTGTGGATGTGTGCTCTTCTGCTTGGCGTTGACTGTGAAGGAAGTGAACATTTTTCACTAAAGCCACTGCAGGACTTGACTTCACGTTGTCTATCTCTTTCTGATCTGACAGGGTCGGTAACGGTTAAAATAGCTGATGAAGGCACATGATGATTTGAGGAATAGCTGAGTCTGCATTGGGCAGAGCGCTAAAGTGTTACCTGTAAACTCTGACATACACAAACGAACTGAAATGGTGACTAGATGCATGGAAGTCTTCTGTTTTTTCTCCCGGTTTTCCATAGTACATAGATTGGTGTGTGCCTTGTTTTCAGTATGATGTGGTGTTCAGCTTAACTGTGTGCTTATTTCTATTTGCAGTGGGGGAGGCGGGGGGTATAGGAGGTTTTTGTGCACACTTTGTGAGTTTTGATAGGGAGTTGTAACTCTGCAACGGGGTGTTGATTCTTCTAGCTTTTTAATAATTGATTTGTGCTTTAGCCTGCGGTTTATTGTTTTCCCCAGTTTCTCGTTAACATTAAGATGATCGTGTTTTGTTGTCAAAAGGGGGCTGTTGATCACCCAGTTAATTTCAAAATTGATTCCCCACAACAAAACACACTGGCTTGCATGCAGGAGTTTTTTTTTCTGTTTTCTTACCCATGATGCTGTGTTTTTTTGTTTTTTTTGTATTAACCCCTTGCTTTTCACTTGTAGCTTACATCTACAGGTACACGATACTCAACATACTCACATTCTTTTGTATTTTTATATTTCAATTTAAAATGTTCAGTGGAAATCAAACACAAATGGTGTTATCACCACATTAAAGATGTGGATATTTAACTGCAAAAGACAGCAATTAACAGCAAAAGCTTCAATTAAGTTGACTGAAAATATAAAGGCTTTAAACAAAAGCTAGATCACTTCACTGCCTATATGAAACTATTTGTATATATATATATATATAAGTAAGTATATACATGTTTACTGCACTATAGGTTAGCTAACCCTAACCCTTGTAGACAGAGATCTTACTTGGTCTCTGAGGCAGCAGCTGTTGGCTACAGTGATCTCCACGGCCTCTCGAATTCAGATGGAAAATGGGAGTCACTCAGCAGCGCTGTTAATAATGTATGGCACAGACAGGGCCACTCGGCTGTGGACAACAGGTGGGCCGAGCCATGTGCCCATAGCCTTTTGGTTATGTGCTGGGGATTACCCATGTGTCCTGGTGATTTACAAAGCACCTTTATTTAGCTCTCGGCATGCAGGACCACAACATGTTCCCCCCTTTTCTTCCATTGGAGATGGCTTAAGTCAGCTGTGCCCTTTTAGCACTAAAATTGTTTTTAAGACAAGGTCATATCACAAAAAAGGTACCAGTATGTTGGTTCCCAATTGTAAATTATACATGTAATTACATTTGTGACATTTAAAACAAAGGATTCGTACATTTTCTTTAACTGTACTACAGATACAAAACCGTTAGCTACTGTTTGCCAGGACACCTCCAGTCTGATAATAAAAACGTAGATTTACAAAAACCACTGGGGCAGTAGAGCGGCACAAGCGGCCATTGCAGTTGGCGAATGCCCTGCCATGTGTTACTGAAGGAGAAGATCAGCTTGTCCTTTGGAGATGACAAGGGGAGCAAAAATAGCATGCTTCCAGCCTCCCTTGTCAGTCAAGTTGGCGTGTGTATGTTTGTGTGGGGGTGTGTGTCTGTAAGAGGGGGAGGGGACACTTGTCTATGGCGAGATATAACAGTTTCACACCTGCTACTCAATATATTTTCTGAGGGTGACTTTAGCACACAGTTAAAAGTGGGACCAAATTGACCCAGATACCCAGGCTTGTATTTATCCATTTATACTCTGGTCTATATACAGAACATTTATCTTCCAATGGAAACACTATGTAATCTACTCCTCAACTATTTTCTCTTTTAAAATATTAAAATGAATTGATTTATCTGCGGATCCTGTTAAAACCAAAGACCCACTTGTTAAGATACCATACTGTATGGTTATTTCAATAACTACTTTGCGATTTATTGCACTTTTAAGAAATCCAATCCTTGCCCTATTTGTTTGTGTTTTAGGACCTATTAACATGTGTGGGCATGCCTGTATGTGTGGTGTTGGTGTGTCCTTATGTGGACAGAACAATGTCCACTTCTCTTCCTGATATGTTTTGGTGTTGTGAGATGAGCTCGCATTTTGTTTTAAATTCTGTTTTCAGTGAAACATTGGGTGCCGAGCTGGGCTGTCTTCTTTAAATGCCTTACTGTGTTTCAGATTCAGGTGCCTTTCTAAATTAAAAGCTGCGCTTGTGTTTCTTTGTGGTGTTGCTGCTTCTTTAACTTTTCATTTCTAGGTAGGGGTTTCATTGTTAATGAATGGATTTGCTGTGTTCTGAAGACTGGATTGATTTTTTTTGAGGCACCTGCTTTGACATTTTCAAGAATTTAGTTTCAGCGTTGGAAAGATGACTGTGGCTCTACTTTAACCCTGTGTGTCTTTTTTGTCCTACAGTGTCCCTGCACACTATGTCTACCCTCAGGCCTTTGTCCAGCCCAGCATGATGATCCCTCATGTACAATCTTCTGCTGCTACAGCAACAGCTGCTGCTGCCACTTCCCCATACCTTGACTATACTGGAGCAGCGTATGCCCAGTACTCTGCGGCTGCCACCGCTGCCGCAGCTGCTGCTGCCTATGAGCAGTATCCTTACGCTGCCTCACCAGCACCAACAAGCTACATGACTGCAGCAGGGTACGGATACGCTGTCCAGCAGCCACTCTCCGCTGCTGCCACCCCGGGAGCTGCCGCCGCTGCTGCCGCCTTCAGCCAGTACCAACCTCAGCAGCTCCAGACAGATCGCATGCAGTAAAACCATGAAAACTACCTTTAAGCAGGAAAGAAGGGGAGGTCAAATCATCCCATGATGAAGGCACTGTTATGATGGTTGTCACACCCAGGTTTTATCTTGGCAGTCCTTAAACCAAAGAGCCTGAAGAAATCACCAAAAATGTGGAGCGAAAGGAAGATTAACCATATTTTTTATTCAAGTGAGATCATAATTTTGGCACTATTGAATATAAATATTTAATATTTATTCAGCAGGAAAGTATTTAATGTTAATTGAAGTAAACTCACTGGACCTCATGTCATCCATTGCTGAATTGTGTATATATATATATATATATATATATATATATATATATATATATATATAATGCAGTGGAATTTGTATAAAATTTCCAAGTGCATTCACGTCTTATGATCAGGTTTTTTTCCCCACTTCTTTGAAAACCAAAACACTAACCCAACCAAAACACTTGCATACATATGAAAACAGTATGTCATTATGCAGTTTTCAGTATTTCAAAGTTTTGGACCAGTATTTTGTTTGGAAAAAGCTATGCAAACATTGATATAGAGGTTAAGATTGTCGTCTTTTTTTATAACTGTTTGGCGTGAGATAGATTAGATACTGTCTACTAGTTCCCTATAAATGTATTTTTTTGATGTTCATAAGACAATATACTGAAGTGACAGCTGAAGGCACTCACTTTTCTTCCTTTAAATTGCACCTCCAGTACATTTTGCAAAAGGGAAGAAACACTTGTTGAATGTGAATTTTTCATTTCGACAAAATGTTTCATAATGTGCCTTTTTAAATTATGCTATTTATGTATTTATTATGGAGCCTTACAATAATAAACCCTTTATCTTGTGTTTAAGTATAAAGCCTAGAACAATTCCACATGTGCTTCCTCATAGTGTTAAAGAGCATGTGATGGATGTTTAAACTTGGCTTAAAAAGCAATACACTGTGTATAAAGAACAAAAGAGGAGCGGAAAGGTAGCAATAAGTCCAACGCATTTTCTGTTTTCTGTAGATTCAATGTTGTCTCTAATTGATTCTTAATTCTTTAATGTCACTTTTATACTTGACCAATTTGAATAAGGTGTGAGAACTGTTAAATGTTTACATTTGATGTTGTTTGACATTGAATGTTTACTTATGCAAGGACATCATCAGTTTCACCTTGCTTTTTTGTAAGGCATGACTAAAAAATAATGCAAACATATGTGAAATAAAAGAAAAATTCCCTTCAATGTTTTAAGTCTTCTGTATTTCGTTTAATGTCTGTTTTGGGCATAGTTTTTAATTTGTTTCATGAAATCCTGTCACACGGTGGTCTCAGTTAAAAATAAGTCAAAACTGTATTATATTTTAACCATATACAGTAGCTAATATTTAACTTCCATATAATCTGTTTGACTTTTAATAACATCTCTCAGCAGAAAGAGTCTAATTCTGTCACTTATTCCAAGATGGAAACCCAAGTGGCAAATATGCATCACTGGAGACCTCTGTCACTAACTAATGAGGGATCACACATTTTTAGGCTATTCGTCTACACTTTAGACACTGCTGCTGAGTTTGATACTTGCCTCTGTTTACATATTAAACCAACTTAGATGTTTTGGTAACATGAATCCAGCCTGCTATGTCTCCAAAATAGTAAGTAGGTGAAGTCCCTCTTTCAACATGCAGCTATTAATTGAAAGAAGCTGTTCGCCAGATTTCCTCACGCTCATCACATCAAATAAATCCAAAACCTCAAAATACCCTGGGATATGTTTTCAATATTTCTGTACAAATTATGAAAACTATTGATTTCTTTATTTCACTGCGATATTACATTTTCTGTAGTTAAGCAGACCCCAATAACTGAAAGGTACACAGATTGCACAGTCCATTCCCTGTTGAGTTCACCTGTTTACAATCCTACATGACAGTCACAACAACTAATGTGTTTGTAAAGCTGTAAAAAATGTGTGATGTGACCTGGAGTTTGACAGAGGCAGGCAGCTGAAGGGGCCAACACTCTACAGATATAATAAATACTGTTTTGTAAGTCTCCCTGGTTGCCTTATCTGGTTATTCAACCAAGACAGTTGCCTCCTGACCTCTGCTGGTTAACACGGCCCTTCTCATTCAATGGTTTTTGTTTATTTGAATTGTGTTCTACTTTGTACATTAATACTGAAGACATCAAAACTATGAAAGAACACATATGGAATTATCTTGTTAACAAAAAAGTGTAAAAAAATCCATAATATGATTTATATTTTAGATTATTCAGAGCAGCCCCCTTTTGCCTTGATGACAGCTTTGCACACTCTTGGCTTCTCTCAGTCAGCTTCATGAGGTCGTCACCTGGAATGGTTTTCAATTAACACGTGTGCCTTGTCAAGAGTCCATTTGTGGAATTACTTCCATTACCTTCTTAATGTGTTTGAGACCATCAGTTGTGTTGTGCAGAGGTAGGGTTAGTGCACAGTGGATAGCCCTATTTGACTACTGTTGTAATCCATATTATGGCAAGAACGACTGAACTCAGTGAAGAGAAACGACCGTCCATCATCACTTTAAGAAATGAAGGCCAGTCGATCCGGAAAATGTCAAGAACTTTGAATGTATCCTCAAGTGCAGTCGCAAAAACCATCAAACGCTATGATGAAACTGGCTCTCATGAAGACCCCCCCGGGAAAGGAAGAGCAAGAGTTTCCTCTGCTGCAGAGGATAAATACACAAGAGTTACCAGCCTCAGAAACTGAAAATTAAAGCATCCCAGATTAGAGCCCACATAAATGATCACAGAGCTCAAGTAGCAGACAAATCTCAACATCCACTGTTCAGATGAGACTGCGTGAATCAGGCCTTCGTGGTCCAATTGCCGCAAGAAGCCACTACTGAGGATGAACAACAAGAAGAAGAGAATATTTGGGCCAAGAAACACAAGGATTGGACATTAGACAGTGGAAATCTGTACTTTGGTCTGATTAGACCAAAGTACCACTGCGAGGGGGACCCAAGTTCCCATCAGCAAAAACACGTCGGTTTGCTATCCTGGCACCAAAATGGTGGAATGAGCTCCTCATTGACATCAGGACAGCAGAAAGCTTACACATCTTCCGGCGCAGACTGAAAACTCATCTCTTTCGACTCCACTTCGAGCGATAGAATTACTAACAAAGCACTTATATACTAATAAAGGACTGGCTTATCTAAAGCCAGTTGAGTAGCACTTGAAATGTTTTGGCTCTATGAAACCTGATGTACTTATATGATTCTGTTTTCTTCAAGTTTGTATCTTCTTGGTCGAATGCACTTATTGTAAGTCGCTTTGGATAAAAGCGTCAGCTAAATGCAATGTAATGTAAATGTAATGTTAGTCCAAATTGGAGATTTGTGGTTCCAACCGACATGTCTTTGTGAGACGCAGAGAAGGTGAGCGGATGGTTTCTGCATGTGTGGTTCCACCGTGAAGCATGGAGGAGGAGGAAGTGTGATGGTGTGGGGGGGCTTTTCTGGTGACACTGTTGGTGATTTATTCAGAATTCAAGGCACACTTAACCAGCATGGCTACCACAGCATTCTGCATTCTTTTATAGTTTTGATGTCTTCAGTATAAATCTACAATGTAGAAAAAAACCCGAAAAAAACAAAACGTTTGAGGCCTATGTCTAATTGTCTAATTATTTACATTAATGTTGCAGCCAACAACAGTAGGGCTAATCTAAATTTCTATTTTTTGTATAAATAATGTTAATTTGCAAAAAAAAAAAAAAAATCAAACATAAAGTACATGCTAAATAATCCTCTCGAAAGTGCCATAGTAATCCATCCATAACGAAATTGGAAATACTAAGTAAAATAACCTCAACATTTGTATTAAACTAATTCAGTAGGCCTAAAAGCCTACTACTCCCTGAACTCTTTGCTAATGTTTACAGATAAAGGTATTTCAAAGGTATTTTCCATTCACTTACGTTTTTACTAAATCTGTTATCGACTCATTTCCATTTTGGTAGTCGTTCAACAAGTCGAACATGGTTTCATGCCGCATTCAGGTAGTATCGGAGTTTTTGTAATTTGAGCGTCCGATTTCTAAAAGCTTCAATGCAAAGCCCCAAATACGACTGCAAGCTCCGATGTAAGTGCCGACATAATACGTAATTGCCTGAAAACCACGCAAACAGTGCTGTCTAACGTCAGCAAAAAAAGCCGTTTACTTTATTTAACTAAATACAGTTGAAACCATAGTATATGTTTAATGCACAATCTTTTTCAAACGTCTACCTCTGTCAAACAAGCGTGAGTTTTCTTCAGAATAAATGAAAGCTTTTATTGCTGGTGTCACACAAAGTCATTTCTACCAACAATTTCATTTGTCCTGAACGCAACATTCCGCATCCTGGGGGCGGAGAGGTAACAGCAGTTTACTGGCAGTGACCGAAAAAGTGGTGCAGAACCAGCGGAAAAATACTCAAATATTTTTGGGGGAGCCCAACTGGGATTGACACTTTGATCGCAGGCATTGTGAGTAGTTTTGAAATACTTAATCTGTCCTAATTTTTTTGTATTTGTGTTGCCTTTCAGTTGTTCAACCATATCAGCTTACGTTATTGTTTGGTGCAAAAACATGGCCATCTTGTGTTGTTCGGTTTTACAGAGGATGTGGAGTCGTTTTTTTCCCAATCAGAATATTATTTATATCTGTACGTTATATTTAACTCGAATAGCATATTGCATGTAGGCCTATGGCCGTTTCTTGCATCTAAACGAATTTTAGGGCCTAGCAACGTGACATTTACGAAATCGAGAGTGTCTGTTGAAAAAAGCAGAGGCCCAACCCTTGTTTAACCCTCACACTAGTTGTTAAAAACCACACTATGTTTACATTTATTCTTTTTTTATTAAGTGGTCGATCGACGGTTAGCATCAGACACGGTAGCATCCTTGTTATTAATTATGATATACCGGAAGTGAATCACCGTGGGTTCGTCTCAGGGCGCCTGTCACGGTGTTATTTACTTTCACCCTGATAACCTCTCATTTGGCTTCTCCAGCGGGTCTGTGCTCCCGATCCAAGCCAGAGATGAGCAGCGAGAAGACTGCATACGCTCTGGTGGGGGGGATGCCTTCTCCGCCCTCGCTTCCCGGCCAGCCAGCGTTCCCTGCTGGATTTGACATTATGCCGGGCGAAAACATGTTCGGAGCCCCTGCCCATGGGGGTGGTTTCCCTGCTCCTACTGGGTTCCTTGGGCCTTCTCCTGGTGATTTTCACGGCTCTGGTGGTGTTCCTGCTGCTGGTGGGTTCAATGCTGCTGGTGGGTTCAATGCTCCTGGTGGTTTCAATGCTCCTGGTGGTTTCAATGCTCCTGGTGGTTTCAATGCTCCTGGTGGGTTCGATGCTCCTGGTGGGTTCGATGCTCCTGGTGGGTTCGATGCTCCTGGTGGGTTCGATGCTCCTGGCGGTTTCAATGCTCCTGGTGGGTTCAATGCTCCTGGTGGGTTCAATGCTCCTGGTGGTTTCCTTGCTTCTGGTGGGTTCAATGCTCCTGGTGGTGTTCCTGCTGCTGATGGTTTCCCTGCTCCTGGGGGTTTCCCTGCTCCCGGTGGTCTCCCTTTCCCTCCACCGACTGCTTTCGGGCCAGGTGTTCCTGGAGCTTTTGGAATGAAACCCCAAGATGGTCCAGGATATGGAGGCAAACCCTCACCATATTCTCCTCCAGGCCCAGGGTCTAATGGAAACTTCAATGGTTAGTCTGTCTTACATTGGTGCATTCTTTATATTGATGTTGTTACATTCGTTGTGTCACATGTCATGTTTCTGTTTGGTGCCAATGCAGATGATGCTTACCATAGCGAGGAAGAGCCACCACCCTTTCATGAGAATCAAGAATTTGATTTTGGATTAGATAACAAGAGCATAAGACGAGCCTTCATTCGAAAGGTAAGCAGATCTTGTGGTCAAAAAAAGGTTAAAGAATTTAGTTTTTGATTTTGAAGCCTGCATTGAAGTGCCTTTTTATTGTCATTTGATTTGTCAACAACAGCCAGCATGTCTTGAAGCTGCATAATTTAGAGATGTATTTATCTGCATCTTTATATGGATTTACATTAAAAAAATGCATTTTGCGATAAACAAACACTAGATGCTTCTATGTAAAGTAAAGCACAATCGTTTAATGTTAAAATAATATAAAATACATATTTCCTGCCGTCTTGCCATACTTTCCACAACATTTCACATATCTCGCTGACTCACAAACACAACCTAAAACATAAACTCTGTTGTAGATTGAACCATGTTCTTTGATACAACATGAGATCCATCTTCAAAAAAACAATAGACAACCTTTGTAAGAAATAGGATCTGTGTCCGCTGTCTAATAATCCACTCTTCTCTTCAGGTGTTCTTGGTGTTGACTGCTCAGCTGACGGTGACGTTCGCCTTTGTGGCTGTTTTCACTTTTGTGAAGGAAGTCAAGGTGTTTGTCATGGTGAACACCTGGACCTACCTTGTGTCCTATGTCATATTCTTTGTGTCGCTGTGTGTGATCAGCTGCTGTGGAAGCGTTCGCCGAAGACATCCTTGGAACCTGGTTGCATTAGTAAGCCTGCTCAGATTTTATCTTGACAATTGAATCATACAACTTGTCTTGGAAAAAGACTGTGCTTTCTTAAATTAAATGTTTTAAACAACGTCAAAGTATTTTTTATGTGGTATAGTAAAAAAATGAGACAAACATTTTGTATTAATGAAGTGTTCAGCATACATTTAGGATATCAGACTTCCCTATTCCTAACAGATTAGACATATTACATTAAGAGAGCTTTCAAATCACTGTTTAGTAACCACAAAATGATTTGCAACTTCATATTAGTGCCCTGAAACTTGCTGATGTGTTTCTGTTTCTTGCCTCCAGTCTGTCCTGACTCTCAGCATGTCCTACATGGTGGGAATGATCGCAAGCTTCCATGACACCGATACAGTCGTCATGGCAGTGGGCATCACAGCCGTCGTGTGCTTCACTGTGGTCATCTTCTCCATGCAGGTCAGTCCATGCCCTTTGTAGGCATGTGATTTGTAACAACCTTAATGTGTGATGTAACCCTAATGTCTCATGGCCTCTTCCCACAGACCAAGTACGATTTCACTTCCTGTTACGGGGTGCTTTTCGTCTGCTTAATTGTCCTGTTGATCTTCGGCATCCTCTGCATCTTCATTCGTGACAGGATTTTGCACATTGTGTATGCTGGACTGGGAGCTTTGCTCTTCACCTGTGTAAGTCCTATTTTTGTACTATTTCTCCTTTTAAAAAATAAACTTAATAGTGTTGCTTTTAGATTAAAGGCAAAGGATCTGATGTTCATAACACGTTCTGACAAAGAATCTTGAGTGTGTTATGCCTATTTGCACCAATTGGTAGCATTTAGTATTCTTGTGTAAATGGCAAGATTTCTAACTAAACGGTCTAAAAATGGCTAGCAATGTCTCAAACATTTATGAGAACCTGATTTTGGTGATCAAACACTCCAAGTAGATATTTAAAATACTGCTTTTTAACATGGCACAAAATGTGTAGTAAACCCATTGTGAATATATTCTATGTTACAGTTCCTGGCGGTGGACACACAGCTGCTGCTGGGCAACAAGGAATTGTCCCTGAGTCCAGAGGAATATATCTTTGCTGCTCTCAACCTGTACATGGACATCATCAACATCTTCCTGTATATTCTTGCTATCATTGGAAGAGCAAGGGGAAGCTGAGCTGGACCAACAACAGTTTAAAATTCTGCTGAAAATCGCTTTGAGTTTGTGTCTAGCAGTGCTTTACCTATATCCTGATTTTAATTTTGTCTTGTAGTGTACTTTGATCACATAGTTTGAAAATGTTTTGCTTCACCCAATGTAAACGTTTTTTTTTTTTTTTTTAAATATATAGATTGTCTTTGCTGTAGTTTGGGGGTTCATTAACACTTTATGAGCTATTTAGTGTGTTGTACAAAACTTGATTATGATTTAGAAAATGGTTTAAATATTTGGCTCTAGACGTCACACAGCCTTCATCAGCAGAAGGAGTTTAATAAAGATCTTGTTATGTGGTTAAAACTTTGGAAAAAGATAGTGAAGTGGACTTTGAGTTGTGATTATTTGTTGAATAAACTTTTCCAGGGTTAAATGTACCTGTGTAACCTATAAGCCAGCAGCTTAAAAAAGCTATAAAAAAGGGAGTGTATGAAAACATACCAGTTGCTTAACTTGCATGTCAATAGATGCATCACCATGGCAACTGAGTAAAAGCTGCTGAAGATTAAATATCTAGATAATGTAAGTCATCAGACCCTGGGTTTTTGTGAAACTAAGATACAGAATGACCTGCAATGCTATGTATAAAGTTATTTTATAAACCTGATCTCCGTTGTTGTGTTATGGTATAAAAATAATCCTGGCAGAATCTCAGTTCTGTTGTGATTTGATATCTGAAAGAATTTGAAATCCAGGAAGTCTTGGGTTGTTCTGTGGCTCATTTGTGAACCTGGGAGCCCCACAATGGACCTGGAGCAAACTGTTGCTGTCTTGCTGTCAAAAAATGAACATCTCGGGCAGGAAAACCATCTGTTGAAGTGTATGTTAGGTTTAGTCAAGGAAAATGTAGAATTGAGATCCGAGATGCAGAGCTCCAACACTGACACTCTGGAAGATATAACAGGTATTTGAAGTGTTTTTGTCTCTGCCACTAGATGGCAGTCAGGTAGCCGTTTAAGCTTCGAGGTAATGGCACAATTATAAGAATATAATTGATAACAATTGTTAACCTTAAGCAGCTATGGTCACTTCAGATTGCCTTTGTTTTCAAAGCAGTTCTAGTTACCTATGGCTGTGCCACAGTAAAGGCAAAACGTTTTTTGAAACTCATGCAATATTTTTAGGGTGTAAAATAAATATTCTTAATAATACAACACCATTTTTCTTTCAGAATGTTTTAACAGCAAGTAACATAACTGTCCTGATTGTTTTCTTAGCTATGAAATTCCAAAGATATTGTCTTAACAGCATAAATTGACTTGTTCTTAGGTATTTAATAATGTTATGTTCAATAATAATAATGTTCAAACCAAACAGCTGACATTTTAATTCAAATTAAGCAATGTAATCTATCCCTTAGCTGTATATTTGAAAACGATATATCAATACATGTTCATTGGCATTAGGATAAATTCAAAATCCAGGAATTAATATGTAAATACCATATACAGTCTATGGTAAATACATCTGTTATTTGGTTACATTTAGAATGTTGTAACAACTCAAACTGAGAGGTATGTTTCTTTAGATGTCGTTAATAATAGTATAATCTTTAAGAGAATATAATGTATAAAGCAGCAAATAGAAATCAACAACTTCAATTCAAATGTCAATAAAAAAAATAACAAAATATATTAACTAAATCAGAATCAAAAACTATATCTACAGTACAAAAAAGTGTAAGGGACAATTAAAGTTCATTTAGGTAGAAGCATTTCATGTTTTATTTATTTACAGCATCAAATCTTGTAATAAATGATAAATGACAACAAACCACTTTGTTTCCATCAGTTTGCTCAACATCAGTAAAACAAGCAACCAGTCTGTGTCAAAACACCGTGGACGAGAGACAATTCAAAAAAGACATCCAACAAACCAAATTCAAGCGAACATCGTCCCCTGTCGACTTCTCGTCTTTCATCCAAAGCTCGGTGCATACAGCTGTAAGTGACAGAGCAGAGTTTCAAAGCTCCCAGGCTGAATCTCATATTGAAGTCAAAGGTGAGGGATGACTAGCATGCAGACATTTGAAAGCAACTGCTCAGTTGCACGCTTTTAAAAAACAAAAACAATTATTCATGTCAATGATTTGATCGCAGGTCCAGACAAGGTGATGGGAGAGGTTGCCTACCAACTGGATAGGAGAATTCTGTCCCACATCTTTCAGAGCCGCAAGAGGCTTTATGGTTTCACACTGCTCAATATCCCAGGGAAAATAAAAGAGGTCAGAATGGAAGACTTCTATTTGTGTATCTATCAAAACAACTGGTTGAGTGAATTTGCAGTGCACAGATAAGCCATCAAATCTGAACAACCGTAACATTCCACTTATATGAATCAGAAGGAAGTCAAGGCTCTTCTTCTTGTCTTGCAGGTATCAACACACCCACTGACAGGAAAGGTAGATGAGGGCTATAAACTGCATCTCATTCAGAGGCACGCTGACCTCATGAAGAAGTTGAACAAGGTCGGGTATAAAACAGAACTTCACCCTTGCTTCTCTGAATTGATTGTCAACCACTATGGGATCCTGAAGGAGAGGCCGCGTGAAAGCAGCGACCAGGAAACTGTCTACAATAATCCCAATTTTCTGATGAAACTGATAATGACCAAAGCACCAAGAGAGCTTAAGGTGGACCTGCTGGTTCTGCTCAACTGCCTCTGCACTATGGCTCACGGGGATGGAAAGGCACTCTTTCTCTGGTAGACTTCACTTTCCAAAGAAGGGTACAGCTTACCATCCAAAAATTAAACTCTTATAAATAATAAGACACAATATGTTGTATGGCTATGATGTTGTGCACACACAAAACACTGACATTCTAGATCGTGAAGAAAAAGTCTATTAAACATTGATGCCTGCTAAAGGATGTATTGAATGTCACGGTGCTAACCTGATTATCAAATGTAATTGTCATTAGCTTTATGGGTAATGTGAGCTGCAATGGAGAGGCCTGAAACCAAGCTATTCTGCATTTGGAAATATAATGTTTAGTTGACAACTGATGAGTCAAGGGTTGGACACATATCTTTTTAGGGGACAAAGCATAATGACATTCATTCCTTTTCTTCGTCTACAGCATCTAATTGTTTTAGAAAGTGAAATAATCATTAATTCTGCAGTTACATATTGCTATACATTCTGATATACTGCACATTTTTAAATCTCAGAGTAAAGCCCTTCAATTGCTTACTTATTGTAAACATGTTTTGTACTTAAATTAATAATTATAAAATACCCTTGAAAATAGCTTTTTTTAGAACTTAAATGCTCTTATTTTGTTTATAGGCCTATGCAGACCAAATCAAGTTGTATGCTCAATTTTGTGTGCAACACTGGTGACTGTCCAGAAGTCATGGCATTTTTAGTTTGAAAGTTATGAATGAAAGAAATATTCATAGTTTGTAAGAGGGGTGGGAGAAGTACTCAGATCTTGTACTTGAGTAGAAAAACCAGAGTGTAAAAATACTCTGTTACAAGTAAAAGTCCTGCATTCAAAAGATTACTTAAGTAAAAGTACTGAAGTATGAGCATCAAAATATACTTAAAGTACCAAAAGTACTTATTATGCAAATTGGTCCATTTCAGAATAATATATATCATACATTTTGATTATAATTAATGATGTATTGATGTTGTTATCACAGCTGGTAAAGGTGTAGCTAACTTGAATGACTTTGTATACCGCAGGGTTGTGAATTTACTCCAGTTGTAACTCAAATCCTATTTAAGTGTTAATTATATTTCATGTTATTAATCCAAATGTGTAAAGTAACTAAAGGTACTAACTAAATTGAGTACAAGTACACTATTTACTTCTGAACTGTAATGGAGTAGAAGTACAAAGTTGCATAAAATGGCAATACTCAAGTAAAGTACAAGTATCTTCAAATTGTAATTAAGTACAGTAAAGAAAGATTCCAATGAAGTCGCCTTAAGTAAAGATCACGTGCCAGACCCGACACCATGCCTACGTCATCGGGGCGTGGCCTAATAAAGCCAGTGTGATGATCCGGTGAGAGCAGAGGGGTTTATGTCAAAAAGAACCACTACAGTAACCGGCTGTCTTTTACTAATTTATATATTCATTTGAACATGTGAAAACATAATAAATACATGTAGTACAATTAATTAATTAGTAGTTGGTTTGCTGTTTGGGTTCATCAGACGGACTGTCACAGTTTTCGTGCCAAGGTAAGGTAAAACCATCTGGGCTGCCACGTTAGCCGAGTGCTTAAGCTAGCTGTGCAACAGGGCAGGTGACAGCTTTTATTTGTGATGACTTAAATGCACGTAGACTATTTAAAGCATGTAGTAAGTGTGCGGTTACAATAGCCGTGTGCTATCATGACCAACCAACGTAATGCGGTCATACGGATTTACGTTGTAGATTTGAACGTGTTTCTGAATCGTTTATTAAGTGAAACTATTAGCTTAGCATTCTTGCACACAATTAATCCGAGTATGATTCCCGAGAGACCCAACTCCCTTACTTACATGTGAGACTGAAAGCTCACATCCCTTGCTGTTCCCTACACAATACAACAACATAACAAAGTGATGCTATCTGGCTTGACAAGGATCTTTGGGTGAGGCGATGTGAGAGTTGTAATTTCCTTGTTGTATTGTGTCGTTTTTTTGTCCAGTGTTAGTTCTAAGTCAGAGTTTTGCAATAGAAGTTAAAGGGCATATCCACACTAAAACAGGGCGTACATTTTGTACATAATGGTCGTTTTTTCCACCGTAAATTGTATCAGATGCCAAAATATCATATTGTCATTTCTAAAATACATGTATATCAGATTAGAAATGGATTAAATACTTTTTTAAATGAAAGTACAAGATAAAACAAATGTTTTGTTGACACACCCATTCTGTACTTGTAGACAAGGGTGGGGTGTTTGTTCAAACAGGTTCATGTTGCAGTGGCAACATTGCAGATTATGACAGTGGTATTATAGGCTGTTTTCACCATGTTTTTCTCTTTGCCTCCTTAAAAGTGATTATGATTCACTGCATAAGCTTCCACTAAGCTGGTCTGGTCACCCCCCTGCACCTGACTGTATTGTTCTGATGTCAGTCCAGCTGTCAATTTTTGTCACATGTTTCCCCAACTGCATGTTTGGGCATGAAGTCAATGTTGAAATTAAAGCCAGTTAGTCCTGATAACGCATAGTGGAGATGCAAGGGTTGTACGAGCCATGCCATGACATTTTCATTTCTTTTTCTTGTCTTAGGAGCCAATGAGGGAGTCTTTGCACCAGAATGAGACTAGAACGGGAACGTGTTTAGAATAGTGAAGACCCCATGTTGCTTTTCCTGATTGTTGCTTAGAAAAGGCGCAGAGGCATGGCCCTGAAGGCTTCTCCATTTCCTAATGGGTTTGTTGCAGGCATCCATGCTGTGGGATGGGCACTCATCCTGCCTTGCTTCTGGTTTCTCGATCGTCTCATTGCTGTGTGCAAGTCCACCACCCTGGAACAAACTCAGCGACTGGAACAGGAATGCTACCTCAACCCCCTCAAGGTCTTCTTCGGCTTCATTATCTTTTTCATTCTTTTTTTCCTCGCAGCTCCATTCGCCTTATTGGGATTTATTCTCTGGGCACCTGTTCAAGCCTGTCGCAGGCCCTTTCGCTACCATAGAGAGCCCCCATCCTCACTAGAGAGGGAGACACACAGGGGATTCGAGCTGGTAGGAAAGGCATCATTTGGATTTGCCACAGCCAACCTCTGTCTGTTGCCTGACGGCCTTGCTCGTTTTAACAACCTGGGGCACACTCAGCGGAGGGCAGCTGCTATTGGTCAGCACATTGTGCACGGTGTGTGTCGGAACGATATCCGTATCTTCGTTGACTCTCCCAGCAGCTGTGGTACTCTCAGCCCCTCAAACAGCATACTCCCCGCATCTAACTCCCCTTCATACGGGGCTACTGAAAGACAAGCGCAGTCCCCAGTAAATCATTCCGATTCAGCTGAAGTACAGGTTTCAATCCCACAGTCCAATAGTCAAGTGGTCTGTGTGCCCTCTGATGATACAAAAGAGCCCTTGGACAACTCACCGTCTCACCTTTCCAATTCCAATCAAAACTCCAACCAGCGGGGTCACCGCAGTGCTCCCCGAGCTTTGCTCTCCCAGGGTCTCGGCCTGAAGGGCGATGTACCATGGGAGGTGTCGACATTGTTCCCAGCCAATGTGGACATACTGTGCCTGGAAGAGGTGTTTGATAAGAGGGCGGCACAGAAACTCACTCAAGCACTCAGACCCGTGTTTGGACACATACTGTATGACGTTGGTGTGTATGCCTGCCAGCCACCATGCAGATGTTCCTCTTTCAAGTTCCTCAACAGCGGCCTGTTCCTAGCCAGCCGGTTCCCTGTGCTGGAGGCCCAGTACCACTGCTTCCCTAACAGCAGGGGGGAGGATGCACTGGCTGCCAAGGGCCTCCTTTCTGCTAAGGTATCTCTCTTAATAATATTATTAAAGCCACTATTAATTATTATAGTTGTCCTTCTTGTTTTGTGGAATTTAAAGTCATTATTCATTTTTTTGTCAATATGAACACAGTGTGTTTTGTTTTTGAAAATTGTAGGTGCTAATCGGGCAGAGTTCGAAACAGAAGAGAGTGGTTGGCTATTTTAACTGCACACATCTTCATGCACCAGAAGGCAAGTACATTTATCTGATTTGCTCTTCTCAGAATAATAAAAAAATTGGCATTTGCCTTAAAAGACAATAAGTTAAGAAGAGACCGTGATAACTGGTCTGTGTTTTCTTTCATTAGGTGAAGGAGAAATTCGCTGTGAGCAGTTGAACATGGTTACCAAGTGGATTGGCGATTTCCAAGCTGCCAACACATTCCCTGACGAGGATGTTGCTTTTGATGTGCTCTGTGGAGACCTGAATTTTGACAACTGCTCACCTGGTGCGACTTTGAATATTTTTGTATTATTTTGTTGTATATATGCTATATATGTTTAATGTTTTTTTTTTTTAGATGACCACCTGGAACAGAATCACTGTCTGTTTGAGCAATACAGAGATCCATGCAGGGCAGGGCCTGGAAAAGAGAAGCCCTGGGTCATTGGTGCGTACCATTTCAAACCATTAGACTACAGTACACTACTAAAAGATAAATGATTGAATTGGTATTTAATTTGTTTGCATCTAAAGGCACTCTGCTGGAGCAGCCCACATTGTATGAAGATGACATTAACACCCCAGAAAAACTACAAAGGTAAAGTCAGTTCCACTTTCTCCAGCTTCTGCACTGCACAGCACTTCTAATGGGACATGAACATAACTCCTTTCTCAATTTGTATTTGCTGAAGCTTCATTTTGTCTTCTCTGTTTATGTGTGTAGAACCTTAGAGATGGAAGAGCTAAGAAAGCAGTACATCTCCCGTCCCGTTCCTGCAAAGGACCTCCCGTTGGTTTACCCCGAGTCCGACCAGCCGTGGATCGGACGTCGGATCGACTACATCCTATACCGCGAGAGCTCCGTTTCAAAGCACTGCCGAACAGTACGTGACCCTGTGTGTTTTTCACAATCTCTCCTACTCCTTCTTCTCTTTCTTCCTCCTATTTCTTCTGTTCTTGAAGGAACAAATATGTTAGATGCTACATAAAATTCATTAAACAATTACTTATGGCAAAACAATGTTCAGTCAGTACTTTATATAAAATCTTAAACTGCAAGTTAACAAAAGCATTAACAAAAACACACTCTTTGTCTCCAACTAGGAAATTGAGGCGCTGACCTTTATAACCCAGCTGGCTGGCCTTACGGACCATATTCCTGTGGGCTTGAGACTGAATGTAATTATGGACTCTGACTGTGCGGATTAATGATGACCCGGCGAGAAAACAGAGTCCAAGGGAACAAAAATGAACAAAAAAGGACATTGTTCTGATCTATACATGCATGACAATGTTTTGTTTACATACTTAATTTTCTGTTTTTAATGGGACAATGTACTGGGTATTTTGATTATACAGTACCTCAGGTGGAAGTAATGTGGATTATCTGACATTAGAGAATGTTTACAATTTTATACAGAAAGCCCAATAAAGGGCAAAGGTATTGATTTTGTAAAACAATATATTTTTCATTCCTGCACTTTTCCTACAGAAATAAATGTAAAAATGTAATCTAATGCCTGTCTCTTAATTTCAATTTGCCATCGATTATGGATTATATAATTTGGCAGACCCATTTGATGTTCTGGGGTCCATACCATCTGTCATCGATAGGGGGTGCTCTTCATTTATCTGAGGCCAGGGACCAACAAAGAAGCCGTACCAACCAATCAAAATCCAAGGTCACTTCCTGTTTTAGCTTCTTGGCTACATGCTGCGCTCGTGTGTGCTGTGATGTTGTTTAAGTTAAAATCATGAATATTCTCACTCGGTCCAAGAAACTAATCTCAGTATTTAAAAGTAGCGTTTTACTGGATCGCACCGGCGTTTTAAGA